ATATAACGCATACGCCACGTGGCAAACCCGAAAAAAACATAAAAATGTGCGGCTGTGTGTTGGAATAATTCAATTTATTTAGCAAGCGAGAAATAAGCAAAGCAAATAAAAGGCAAAAAAATAAATATTTTTTGCTGATGTTTGTCTCTGATTTTGATATATAAATGTACAGACATATGTGCAGGCGAAAGGAAACTCACAATTTCAGTTTCAGTGAGCAAACATTTTATGCATAATCCTTGAGCATAAGGACCCGCTTTTGCTCTTTCCCTGCCAAGTGAGCCGGAAAATGTGTTATTTTATGCGTAACGCAATTTTGAGAGGCAATTTCCCAAACTTTTACTGCACTTCCAGGGGAGTTTTATTTCCCTGAGTGGGCACTGATTTCAAGGTCACCCCCTTTTACGTGAATCCATATGGATTTATTGCCAGAATTTCATAAATGTACTTAAATATTTGGTAACTTTAATCCCCCTGATTTTCCCTTACCTTCTGGCAGCTTATATATATCAACCGCAAAATGATCAAAAGAACGATTAGCCACCCAAAATGCCACAGGCGAAATTCATCTAAAGCCTTGAACAACCAAAAGGAAATGCAGCCAGGATAAATTAAATTTCAGCACAAATAATTGCTTTAATTTGTTGCTTTGCCTACATTTTAATTGAATTGGAAGCCAAAACGGATATTTTAAATGATAAAACATAAAGGAATTAACGAATTATTTCCGTCATTTATGTAAATTAAGTTTGTTAACACAAATAAATGGCTGTCGTGTTTATTTAATTAATGCGGATGTTTAGATTTGTGCTGAAAAGATATCACAGCTAATTTGTCTGATTTAAAGATTTTAAATATACAGGAATAAATTGCTTATAATCACATGGAAACACTATTTCTACTCTTAAAAATATATTTTTCTTTTAACACTAAAATGCTTTAAACCATATTTTACTGTCTGCTCAATTCAATTAAGCTTTGTGAATTGAATAACGCGACTGGGTACACAGAAAATGTAATCATAAATTTTGTGCGAAATTCATAGGCCATCCTCCCAAAACCCCAACCCAATCTCTCCGGCCACTTTCCGATACTCTTGGCCAGATAAACATTTGTCCTGGGCAAGTGAGACTCCTCGGTTGCTGCAACATATTGCATTTTAATGGGAATTTCGTTTTCATTGTCAACACTTCTGTGAATTATGAGGCGGCGGGTGTGGAAAGTAAACCGGCTAAAGGACACCGAGTCGTAAATTCTGGCTCGAGATTAGAACTGCAAGTGAAGTTGAACGAGATGAGCTCCTGGCTGCTCATCCATGCCACTGCCAGCCAGGACATTTGACACTTTTCTGGCTTAATGAGGCAGGAAGCTCCGTCTTGACTGTGGATCCTTGGATGCTGGGATGCAGGGATCCCGGGTCCTTGGCTCCCTGTTTCTCCATTGTCTTCTGGCCGCACATTTGCGGACGACGTGTGTCAACGCATTGTGCGGTGTAAATTGCTTGCTGCCATCAAGCATTCAACCAACCTCCCACATCTTTCCCGCTCCTGCCCATCATCTGGCTAACCAATGCAGCACTTGTGAGCCCGCCCTCACCACCTCTTCACTCCTTCGTCACCGCTGTCTTCACTACTTCGTCACCCCTTCGAGCCATTCAAGCCGCCGCCCTGCGTTGACAAGTTGTGTGCATAAATTGCAACTGCCTGGGCTTGTATACAAAACATGTGAAGGATGCGATGCTGCTGCTGCTACTTCAAAACACTAAAAAAAAAATTATCAATAGTAACGATAATTTAGTAAGGATTTTGTTGAGAACCAAAGAGGAGTAATACGCATTCTTGGACCCATTCGTTATGGTAAGTAGGTTTTTCTTCCGTTTATTACGTTTTCTTAGCTTTAAACTTACACTTAGCTTACCATGAAGCCGATAAAATGGACCTTAGTTTAAGTAGTATAGTAGATATTTTCGAGGAAAGTAATATATATATATACCAAGGAAATACCACATTTCTATGTTCAAAGATAATTTAATTATATGTAAAGGAAAGCCTTTTAAAAGATCAAAATTAAATTTATTTTATTAATTGGTTACTTTAAAAGTTATTTTCGATTACATAGAATATGTTATTCATTTTAGTTGTATTCAGACATCTGTTATCTTTTTATTTTAGTGATGAAAACTTAATTATTTTTGTTTATCATTTATCTGTTTCCCACAGTGCTGTCCTGATATCGCTGCTCCTGACTATGCATGAGAACGAGTGTATCCTTGATGTTTTAGGATTTTATTTGCTGGCTTAATAAAGGCATCAGGCAGCAAGTACCAAGCTGCAAGTACCAGGCCGAAAACCGGCCTGAAGTTTCAATGCACTCGCTCACCTCTGCCCCTTCCCCTTTGCCATCTTGCCTCCGTGCCCCAGGATAATATGTGTGCGAATGTTTGTGGTGCTCCCTCACTTCCGGTTTGGCAATGTTGCATGATGCAGCTTAAATTGCTGCCTCAATTACACATGTCTCGGTATCTGGGTATCTCGGCATCTCGGTATCTCAGAGTCTGAGGGTTTTTGAGGGTCTGAGTACGCCTGTGTGCGTTTGCAGGGTCAATGCTGCCTGACAGCCGGCACAGCACTTCAACTTTAATGCGATTTTAAAGATGCGCACAGCGCCGAGAGCATTCAGGAAACGGGTAACTAACTAATGATGAGATCGTGACACGAATGGCTTATTATATTATTTTTTCTTTAATTTTGGCAGCTTCAAATTGCAAGCAATTAACCTTCAAGAAGTATAATTTACTTTGATCGACTTACAAATAAATATAACAGCATTTATCGATTGCCAAACTTTCTTAAACGTTCTTTGGGTATAGTTTTAAACACATTTATGTCGAAGATTATAATAAATAAATATGTAAGACTAAAAGAATGTCCTGAAATTCTGCTAGAATGGAAATAAAAAAGTTTTTTTAATTAACATAATTTGATGTGCAAACTTTAGATCGTTATTAATGCCATAATGAACCTAAATCAAAATGTATCTGCGCACAACGAAATTCATAAAACCAAAACTAAGGCGATAATTCTCTAAAATTTTAATGAATCTCTAACCAACAAATTCACAAAATCTTTTTCCTCTCTCTCTCCAAAATCTAACCAACCCCCGAAAACCCCCTGTTCTGCCCAAACAAATGCAAATTTGCAGGAATAGAATGCATTTTTAGATGCGCTGGCCATTTGTTTTGTGTCCTGACTTAATTAACGCTGACTTACTCATGTTGCCAGGACTCGTGCACCCCGAACCCCGCGATTCCCGCTCCTTTTAGCCCCCCAGGGCTCCTCCATAAGCCGCTTGCTGGCATTGTTGCTGTCTTTTGTTGATAATTACTTTTGATAACTTGGCTCTCTCACTTAGTGAGTCTGTCTCTTGTTGTCCTCTTTTTCCCCTTTTCGACTAGTTTTCCCTGCGTTTTCCCCATATTCCCTTTATCACGCGGTTTTTCGGGTTGTTTTATAGTTGTTGCTGGCGGTTTTTGCAACCGGCTTGCATATGGCTCCATTGCAGAGCTTATCAACAAGCTTTCGCATAAGCTTTAGTTTTAGTTCCCGTCCGAAAGGGCACTCTCCCCTTCGCGCCTCTGGCAACTGACTGGGCTAAGTGCTCCATAAGCCTTGAGGTAGGTCAAGTAAAAAATTTCAACCAGGCTCGAAAAGAGCAGCAACAACAACAGCAACACCAACTGCTGTGAATAATGCAATTACCATGGAGTTTAGCTGCGATGCAAGACCATGAAATATTAACGTAGAGATGAACGAAGGGTTAAAGCTGCTAGTGATACGGCATTTAAAGTTGGAGGTATTTTTTTTTTGCCATTAATAAGTCATAAGATACTAATCGTTAAGTTTTATTTAATATTTAATAAGCAGAGAAATGTTTGCCTATTAGTGATCGATATAGTTTTATTCAAGAATATTCAGATTGCATTACAAATTCAGGGATAATATTTTACAAGCTTGATGTGCGTTGAACTAATAAAGTTACAGTTTAATAAATACAAGAAAAATCACCTATTAAAACATTTTAAGTTAAAAATCGCAAGTTATAAAGTGAAAGTTCCGTAAAAATTGTCATTCGATTGTTGATCGGAAAATTCGTTTTGCTGAGCTCCATATGTAGATTTTTGCATTTTGGTTGGCTTAGGAAGTGTTTGGCCCAATAATATTTGCCACTCTATTTACATATTGTAACGCACCCAATTTTCTTCCCTTTCCCCCAATTTTCCCAACTTACCCCCCTGAATTTTTGCGTCCACTGTTTGGCATGCAAATGTGTGTGTCTGTGCATAATGTGCACATGTTGTTGTCGTTGTTTCTGGTTGTTTCTGTCTCGCACATTTGCTTTTATTGCATTCCTTTTTTCGCACGCACGAGGCCTCAAGTTTTTAGCTCGTACTCCTCTTCTAAATGTCAGCTGTCAAATATATATGCCCGTACCCATCTTGTATCTATATACATACATAGATACACTATCTACCATGAGTACACTAAAACCAAAACATAGAAGTTTGAACTTAAATGAGATGCAAACGGTGTTATAAGTCATTTGATAGGCCATGCTGATTTAAAAGTGTTTTTCAATCAATTTAATTTGTACTAATTGAATGCTTCTGTTTAAAATGAGAATAAAAAAAATTAAACACCTTTTTCTAATAAAATTCAAGTCACGGGTAGGAGCTGAACTCTTAAGCTAAAGCTCAACGCCATGTATGAGGAGTACCTAAACAAAAACTTTTTTTTTTTTTTTTTTTTTTTTTTCTTTGCCGGAGTTTGACAGACGCATATGTTTGGCGCTGCAATTGCTCTGGTAGTTTCCAATCCTTTATTGAAGAATAATAACAGCTAAAAGAATAAATCCCAAATCGTCCAGCGGTGGTGATGATTATGATAATGCAATAACAGTTGAGTTGGTGGCCATATACTGATATAAAAATAAGTAAGCAACGTCTAGTAGATGCTATCGCCAGTACACATATGGGGACGGCGATGCCAGTGATTGGGATTCTTAAACTCCACCAATTGGCTCAAATCAAAACCAGCTGGCACTATAGTCGGCCCTTTAACGCCCTTCAAGAGGGGCGATACCTTCGGAGCTGGTTGCACTGGCTTATTCGGGAAGGGAGACACATACTCCTTCACAGAGTTGTTATCTTTCAGAGAAGCCTCAGTGGTCTTTTCTGGCTCCTTCTGCTCAGACTTCAAGTTACTATCATCCATATGTTTAGGAGAATCCTTGTCGAAATAGGCCTCCAGGGCCACAGAAAACTTCCGCAAGCGGGAACACTTGAGCTGGTCAGGACCCTGCTGTGACCCGAACCAAATCTTGGTGAAGGCATACTTCTGCATAGCCGCAGTGTGGCGATTGATGGTCAGGTGCTCCTTCAGGACCGGTTGATCCAGGTTGAAGAGGTCCTTGCTGGGCATCTTCGAAAAACAAAATTTTTAAAGGCAATATACCATTTTTCTTCATACTATTTTTCTTTTTGTGTATATATAGAAATATTTACTATGCATATTTTGATACGTAAGTCGGTTACTTTTGCTAGTGTCCTTGAAACGGGCAAGTGTGTGTGTTGTGTCTGTTGCCAAGTGTGTGTGGACAGCTGTTAAAGTGACAACATCGCGTTGAAAATTTATGCGATTGCTTATAAATCGGATTTATTTTGATATGCAGGCCAGTGATTCATTGATGATACCGGCAAGTTCCAGAATCGAGTTTAGACCACTCGCATAATTAAATTTAATCGTGTGCTACATTTTATTAGCCTGGTTAACTGACTCAAGCTGAGAGACATGACGAATAAAAAGTTATTTTTATTCATTCTAATTATTATTCAAAAAGAGGAACATCTCATTGGTATGTTGAGCAAAAGCACAATTAATCCCAAAAAAACATAAAACCACAAAATAAATAGTAACCATTTAAAACTGGCGTATAATCCAATCAAAAGATGTCTGACCCATATTTTCATAATGAAAATAAAAAGCCCCACTTAGCTTGATTTCCCACACAAGCCACTTAATCACAATGGAAACAAGTTGATGGATATCAGACCAATTATTCAAATCATTAACATAATTCCGATTATTCGTATGAATCCATAAGACCGGACCAAAAAAATGCAAATCAAAAGGTCATTGAATCACCCACAAAAGCGTACAGAAACTGGAGTCGCCCCGATAGACATCATTTGTATGGCTTGCCCATAATCAACAAATAAATAATTAACAAATTTTGATTGAAAATGTCAAATTGCTATAGCCCTGAGCTAAATCCGTGGCGCTGAAGACCCACAAGCCAAAAAATGAGTATAAAATACAAAATAAATTTGCATAAAAGCGGCGATAAAAGAGAGCGCCAAAACCATTTGTCAAAGTAGCGCCCAAGAGACTACCCCTCCCTTTCTTTTTTGTCCCTCTCTTCGCATGCAAATGAGGGGGAGGGAGGGGGTGGAGAAAGGGGAAGAGGAGGAGGTGGTGATAGCGTGCTAATTTGCGAAGGCAGAGTCAAAATAGAGCCATAAATATGGCAAATGTTTGAAGTTGTTTCCTTTCCTTCCGGACCACCTCTCTCTCTCTGTCTCTTTCTGCGGTCCTTATACCCCTCTCTTTTGGCAACCCGTATACCCCGCTCTTTCTTTCATTGGCCATCATTAAGCCAACAATGTATAATTATACATTTATCACTTTTTTCGGTAAACCAAACTGATGGCTTGAAGCGGTCTCTCACCTTGAGCTTTTTACATTGATTTCAATTCCAAGCCAAAAAACAATTCAGAAAACTCGTCCACCATCTCGATATCATCAAATTCGAAATTCGTGCCGTAACAATAAAAGTAAAAATAACACAAAAAAAAAGTAGTTCACTAAACTGTTATTACATCTGCGATTCATAGAAAGACCATGGTGAAAGGTGGTAGGGGGAAGCGAATTGAAAGTGGAACGAACGGATGTCCAACAAATAAAGCATTCGCACTGTGGGCCCGCAAAGAAAACTTTGGACCTGTCCAAATGGGGCGTCAGAACTTAAGGCTATGCTTACGTGAGGAAATTCTTAAGCTTCTGAAGAATTCACTTTTTTCTTAAAATCCACTAGGTTAACTCAGTGCATCAACCCAGCTGTGAATGTTTAATTGGCTCTCAAGTGCAGCTTAAATTTGCATTTAAATATGATGACCTTAATTAGAAGCCATTTCAGCTGTTTTAAGTTTTATATTTATAAGGCTATATATTAAAATTGTTTAAAGATTTAATTTCATCTTCATAAAAATTTAGATATTTCACAACATTAAAAATCTCAAATTTGCTTGACAATTTTAATATTCTACATATTCACAATTTATGTGCCCCTTAGATTGTCATAAGTAAAAGTTATTATAAAATATTGTATGACAATCAAATTTAATTGCAGCTATATAAAACCAAGCTTATTGTGGTCGAAACTATGCTTAAAATGAACATTGAGGAAGCTCAAGAAACTCAAAGCTAGCAAAAGTATAAAGTTAAAAATCATAATTAGGTTTATTAAATCAACAACCTGCTTCCCACATTTATTAGCCCATTTAATTTTGGGTTTACCCACTTCCATGTTTCTCAAGAGCCGAGTTTCCCCATTTATTAGCCACTCCAACCGACATTGAACAAACAAATAAATGGAAATTCAATTAACTATATCTAAATCAGCCACGAAGCTTGCCCAACTTTTCCACTGTATATCCCCAGATAGGTGAGGCCGAATTGCAGTTCGAATCCCAATCCTACAGCTCTCGATAACGAGTGGTTATGGCGCTGCCTTATCCAAAAATACAAAAATCCAAAAGGGTGCCCGAAACACAACGTAATGCTCCTCTTACTTCCTCGAATGCGAGCACATACTTACACAAACCCGAGCTGCTTTCAATTTGCACAAAACTCCACATAAATTACATAAGTTGACCATAAAAACCGAAGAAACGGAGCATTTGCAGGAGAAGAAGCGGCAGAATGGGTGAGGTAAGTGCACCTTTTCGGAGCAGCTTTTGGAAACTGGTTGACCAACTGACCTTGAAGCACTTTGGAGATGGGGCCGCTTACGCAATGCAATACACCCCGATTCCAGTTCGATCTTCTTCTCTACACGAAAGTCAACAAATTGCAGCTTCCCCAGCGACGATTGCAAAATTACATTTGAAGTTTTTGGTGTTGATGTTGAGTTTTTTCCCCCAACAACCACATGGCAGATCTTTGGCTTGTCAAAAATGTAAACACAAAACTCGGGAGGGGAAAAAATAAAGCATATATAAAAAAAAAAAAGATGTATAAAAAACGAAGCGACGTCGCTGCCGACGCTGCTGCTTTTGGCCAGGTCTCAAGTGCGATATAAAAGCCCGGCCACAAGCCGCTCAACGATCCACAGTCCAAAGTCGCTTGCAGCGAAAGACATCGAGTGCAGAGAGTTTAACCACCCCAGAAAATATGTTCAAATTCGTGTTGATCGCCAGCCTGCTGGTCGCCATCGCCTTGGCAGCTCCCGTGAGTGTTAATAAAAATTTACCAAAAAAACAAAAAAATGCATAAAACGAAACATAGACAAGACAGGAAAGTTTTCGGTACTACAAGTTTTCATTTAGTGACAAAGAAATGAGTTTATAACGCGATGTTGCTGCCGTTTCCGTTGATGTTGCTGCGGGTTTTTCAGGATCGCACGCACTTGGGTCGCTTGGTGCTGCGGTCCATTTCGCATTTCTCGAAGCTGCCGCACTTGACATTGCCGCAATAACTGCCAGTGGATCCGGCTAAAAAACAGATTTTAAAATTTATAACAATATCCAAGATTTTCTTATGTTTGCTTTTAGAGAAAATATGAAAAAAGCCATTTGAAACATCTTTAAATTATATTTTTAACAATACAAAATGGATCATGTTATTTTTTAACTCAATATTGATTAAATAATCATGTTTCTCAATAATCGATAAAATCCATATTATCTTTGCTACAAAAGATTTTAAAATGAACGAATTTCAAAATCAAATCAAATGAATATCAATAAGTTATACCGATATCATAAATTATTAGCCTAAACTCATTGAGAAACAGAACAATATTAATTTGGGGAATATATTAAAATACCAATATTTACTTTGAAGGTCAAGATCGCTTTAAGGTTAACTTTTTTAGTGCAAACTTACTATTCTTGCTGCCAAAAGGCGATTTATCGGCTCCGGAATTTCCCAGCAAATTGGGTTGCACGCAGCTGCGACCGTTGCACAAATTCGGGCAACACTTGCCCCCGATGGCACTGCACTCGCTGTCGTGGAGACATTTGGGGGTACAGTTTTGAACCTTTGTGGATGAAGGACAATCTGCCAGAAAAGGGAGTTATTGAAAAAGCTCTGAAAAGCTGAAAGCAAACACTTACCACCCGCAGCAAGGGCAGCAACCAGAAAGGCAGCAATCAACAGAGAAAGAAAGCCCAGCTTAACTGCAACATACGTATAAATGTAAAAGCGAATTCTTAGTGGTTCCGCATTTCTTGCGAATATCTATAGCTATATATTTGGACCTACCCATGATGATAGTTGAACGTCCGCTTCGTTACTGTAGTCAACATCGACTAGCGTTCATCGGGCTTTATATGCCTCGATCAACGGTTTCGAGTCAAACAAGTTTTCTGCTTATTTGCGTTTGTATTTCTAATTTTTCACTTCATTTTTTGTATTTTACCTCCCCAACTTGCCTTGACGTGAGGTATAATAAAACAAAGGAAAGAAAAAACACGGACAAAAACAACAGCAAAGCACTTATCATTTTGACTTTGAATTTACATACAAACAGGATCGGAATAAGCGATATCTGAAGACGCTACGTGAAGAAGAAAAAATAGAATTGAAATAACTCCCAGGATAGGGATCCGAAATAAAATAATATATTTCCTAAGTAATATTTAATCTCCGTTCAATTCGAGTAAAAAACCACCCAACATAACCTAAGCGACAGTTTTCATGATCTTTAAAAACTTGATTTTTATCAACTGCATAAGTAGTTAGCAATGACTGTAGCGTACTAGAAAACCGTAAAACCCCAACCCGAAACACATATCTTAACTACATCGATATATTTTAAATACTATTTCCGTTCATGCAGTCGCAAGTAAGACAAGGGAAAAATGTGTCAAAACGTCGTAATGAATTTATCATTTCTTCCACTTTGACGTATGTATATGGTGATTGAGTCATGCCGGCAAAGTCTATGTTTATACGAAGCTTAGAAACCAAGAAAAGCCAATGATAAAATATTGCATATGATGGCCACTCATAAAATAATTTCAATATGAATTATAAAATCGGTTTTAAGAAGTAATGATGATCTGTACAAATTACTTTGGGTAGTGTTCTTGATTTAGACAAGAGGTGTAAGCATGGGTAACGGCGGAGTCATGTAATGATTTCGGACAGACGACTATATAAATTAATAGTTTTGCTGTTCAATGGATAATTTAACATTTTACACAGACCCATGATCTCATTATTGCTTGCAGGGAATGTGGAATCCCGAGGTCTACCTGACCGATCACAAATTTTCAGATCTTCGGCTTAGAAACTGGTTCAATTTATTTTTAAATTATACATGAATATATTTAATTAAAGGGGGGCGTGAATTTCGACTTCATCGAAAAGCTTTAGATACTTGCTAGGAAACACTCCACTTTGTTTTTTTCGAAAAATAGTTACATTACTATTATTTGGAGATTGTGAATCTTAGTAAAAATAGATTAATAATAATATTCAAAGAAAAAAGTTATAAGCACCTTCATAAGTATTGCTGGCAAGCATGTCAAAAACTCAGAATTTCAAAAAATGTTTAATATCTATTGTATTTTTTAGCGCGATGAAACCGAAGCGGAAAGATTAGACAGGGAGGAATTGGAGAGATATCAGAATGAAAATGCTCAATACGAGTTTAATTCCAACGTGAACGATCAGATAAACGATGGTCAAATCACACGGCAAGAGCAGCGCGAGGGAGGCACTGTTCGAGGTTCCTACAGCTACTTCGATGGATTTGTTCAACGCCGTGTCGAATACATTGCCGACAAGGATGGCTACAGGGTGCTTAAGGACGAGATGAAGGACGTTGGCAATGGTCCTCAGTTCAATCCGGAAGGCCAAGCTGACGTTGAGGGCTCCCTGATCGGCAAGTACTCCATCAAGTTGGACACAACCGACGATGAGAAGCACTACAAGGACATTCATGCCTAGAAAAAAATGAATTGAAGGATTTCTAACATTTAGAAATGGACTGAATACTTCGTAGAGCCTTAATCTAGAGTAAACACCTTCTAAACGATTGTATTTTTCTTTAAAATAAAATATTGACAAAATTAAAATAAGTCTTTTTAATTTGACTTCATCCAAATATTGAATATCGGAACTCTTCCTCCTTTCATGGGTAATGCCTTAGTTTTCAATTTATTTGTAATAATGTTTATTTATTGGTTAATTTTGCGGTGAGTGCATCTAGGAGCAAAATGTTCTGTTCATCGTTTAGGTTTTGTTTTTGAATTTGGTTTTGTCACGCCATCGCTTCTTGATGTTGTTGCTGTTGATTTACTATTCATATAGGTTTCTCATACGGTCTTCATTTTTTTCGTTGAGTTTTTTTCTTTTCATTTTTATAATTTGCATTGTATTTATCAACAGTTTTAGCTTAATATATAGGGTCTCATTTTGAAATCAATTGGGTGTATTACATTTACGTTTATGCGCTACATGCTAAAGAAATGTGGGCGTGGAGAGTCTTAGATCGCTTGGGTGAGTGTGTATGTTGTGGGTGTTGTCGGGTGGATAATACTAAACTTAGAGAATTACAAATTAAAGCCTAAGCGCTGGGCCCAAGCGTTTTCAAAATACATTATGAATATTTCATAAATTACACAGTAAATTAAAGTACACTTATCTAGCAATAAGTATATATTTCTCAAGTTCGTATATTCAAAAATCGAACCAACCAAGTCACGCACATACAGCGAATAAATTATAAAAATATAGTCATCAGACGTGAGTGAGTCCATATACTATGCTTATCCACGTATGTACTTTATATTGTTACATTTTAAACATAAATATTTACATTAGAATTAGTTTCTTTAGTTTTATATGCTTTACTGTTGCCTTTTCATCGATTAAATTTGCTTTGCTGTAATTCAAATGGTAGAACCTAAATAAAATTCTATTGTTTCATTTTAGAGTGCTTGTGATATCCTTAAACAATCACAAAAAACAACGAGTATTTTAAGGGATATGCAACAAGCACAAAATACACAACACTAGCTTGCATTTTAGGCTTAACTCCTCTTTCCTATTTTTATACAAAAAGTGTTACGAATTGCCAGTTTGCTTAGTTTACACGAATTGCAAATGAATTATAATATACATTTATGTATGGTTGCCATTGCTGCGTCTGTGCGTGAGCCTCTGCACTTGCGTTGTTTTATTTTGTTTGTTGTACACGTGGTTTTCGTCTTTGCTCTTTGACTGGTATAGTTCACAATTCAAACATTAGGTATCTTTCTACTGGGATCGACTTAAGATACGGTTGTCTGAGAAACTATAATACGTTAGCCATCTCATCTAATCACGCAAGCGACACACAGCTTGGCCGCACCGATGCAGTCGTCATGGCAGAAGGCTCCACATTGCTGGCAGATTACCATCGCGTTCAGAGAGCAGGCGCAATTGTTTGGCGTTGCTGTAGCCTCATTGCCTGGCGGAGTGTTCTCCCCACTCTGATGCAATTGCAGCAGTGGATGTTGATGCTGCGGCGCGGGTTGCTGCGACTGTTGCTGCGAGTTGACGGGAGAAGGAGCTGCTGTTGGTGCTGCGTTGGTGGTCACTAGGTAGTTGTTTCCAGCCTCCATAAGAGCGACGGCCGACGAGTTGGTATTGCTGCCGTCGATGTAGGCGATGTTGCCTCCTAATAATAAAATGAATTGATATTTTAATTTAAGACTAACGCCACTAAATGCTATAAACATCTATGATTAAATACTTACTAATAAATAAATGTATCTATGAAATATAAACATATTTATTAAAAAGGTTTATAGCAGGAGCCGTATTAATTATAAGGTCAGATGGTCAAATTATATAGGATGAACTTCAGAGATACTAAAATAGTTAATTTTAAATTATCATACAGCTTCTTTAAAAAGGCATAGCCACCGTAAATAGTTTTGTTTAAATATAAGAAATGACCTTCTGACCTAAGCAATAGCTAACCATTTTTAGCAAATAAAATTATTAAGTATACACAAGCTCTATTTAAAAATAAAATGAATTTTATAATTAAATCAACTAAAAGACTTATTAACAAGAAAGGAAAGCTAACTTCGGGCGGAGCCGAAGTTGATATACCCTTGCAGAATACTCTGTAAATTATATTCTCCAAAATTATTCATATAATGCATTCTTAATACTCATAAAAAATCCCAACTTCCTAACTTTACAAACACGAAAGTTATGGCATTTCCGATCAATCAGTTATATGGCAGCTATAGGATATAGTCGGCCGATCCTTATGAAATTTGGTAGGTCGGACTGATTGGCCAAATATAAAACCCATAGAAAATCCCAACTTCCTAACTTTACAAACACGAAAGTTATGGCATTTCCGATCAATCAGTTATATGGCAGCTATAGGATATAGTCGGCCGATCCTTATGAAATTTGGTAGGTCGGATTGATTGGCCAAATATAAAACCCATAGAAAATCTCAACTTCCTAACTTTACAAACACGAAAGTTATGGCATTTCCGATCAATCAGTTATATGGCAGCTATAGGATATAGTCGGCCGATCCTTATGAAATTTGGTGAGTCGGATTGATTGGCCAAATATAAAACCCATAGAAAATCTCAACTTCCTAACTTTACAAACACGAAAGTTATGGCATTTCCGATCAATCAGTTATATGGCAGCTATAGGATATAGTCGGCCGATCCCGGCCGTTCCGACTTATATACTGCGTGCAAAGGAAAGAAGGGTGTGTGCAAAGTTTCAATTCGATAGCTTTAAAACTGAGAGACTAGTTTGCGTAGAAACAGACAGACGGACAGACAGACGGACAGACGGACATGGCTATATCAACTCAGGAGGTGATCCTGATCAAGAATATATATACTTTATAGGGTCGGAGACGTCTCCTTCACTGCGTTGCACACTTTTGACCAAAATTATAATACCCTCTGCAAGGGTATAAAAATGATACAAAATTATGATTGAAAATGGCAAATACTCAAATAACAATGAAAATGTGTTATATGTTTTATCGGCCCCTACTTTCAATAAACATGCAACTTGGCTAGAAGAAATTCAAACACAAAGGTAATTCGATCACGTAGGTTAATCTAACAAATCTATGCAACAAACTAATGATTGCGTGCCAATTATGGTAACTTGACCAATAGGTTGATGATTTTGTGGGTGGTGATTTGAAAGACGTACCTCGCTAACCACTAATAATACACCAATTTACCTGCAGCGATATTGCGCCGCACAATATTCGCGGCGGCGCCCATACTGCCCAGCGGCTGCGGCTGTTGATTTTGCTGCTGCTGATGCTGCTGTTGCTGCAGTTCGTGGTGTTGATGATGCAACGCATCTGTGGCGGAAATTGTTGGAGCCATAACACTACCGCTGCCCGCAGTTGTATCCACCGATGCAGGACGCCCGCGTCCTCCCATGGGAATGCCGTTTAGGCTGTGCAGTGGATTCTGAACAGTGACAAACTAAACACACACAAAATAAGTATGGGAAAAATGTCTGTTAAAATCGTTGATTATAATTTACCTGGTTTTGATGCAAAGGTGGGGCACTCGAGGCCCTAGGCGCTTGGTTGTCAGCTGCACCCACATTTGCCCGATGCACCAGCACATACTGACCGCTGCCATTCTGGTGGATTAATGGCTCCGGGGCGGACTGCTGAGGATTTTGCACTGATACTGGCGGTGTGGCCGCCTGATGATGTTGCTGCAGTAACTGCAACTGTTGAGGGGTGGCTGTAGCTCCTCCCGGTCCTGGGCTAAAAACATGCCGTATAAGCGTGGTGGGTGAGGGCTTCCTTTGGACATATTTTTTCCTCGGAAAACCACTCATTCGGGGACCAATAACCTGCAATAGCCAACGATACATTTAGTTATAAAGAATAATTGATCCTAGTCAAATTTTACCTTATATACACCCGGACGTCCGACACCCATCACATTCGACGGCAATCCAGCTGGCAGAGCTCCGGCTCCAACTGCTCCACTGACCAACAACTCTTCTTGCTTTATAATATTCTGCACTGGAGCTGCGGACACGGCTGCTGCCACACTTCCGCTAGCCGTTGTCATGTTGGACATAGGTGTGGCAGCAACGGTTGAGACATTCATGGTCACAGGGTTCACAGGTGTTGCCGCCGTGGTTGCCGTCGGCTGCTGATGCTGGTTGAGTATCGCTGCAGGCGGGCGCAGTTGGGCCTTGAGGTTTTCGCGATTCGGACTATTTTGGATTACTGCTTGGCAGATTTGATAGCTACGCTCCAGATTGACAGCACCCGGTGGCAACCTGTTGCTAGTGGCTTTGCGACCCTTGCCCGTTGGCATTTTCGGCTGTAGTCTTTGCTGAGCAATAGTAGTTGGCACTCCCGAGGGAGGCAGCGTTTTCATCGTCAGCACATTGGGAATCGTGGGCAACTGTTGCATATTGTTGTTGTGATTGCTTTGCTGCTGCTGTTGGTGTTGCTGGGATGTTTGCTGCTGATGTGGCGAGGCAGGTACTGGCGGCGATTGCTGCTGTTGCGCGGCTGTCACAGCAACAACATTGGCGTAGGCGGACGGAATAGTTGCGGTATTTGCTGTTGTTGCTGCTGTGGTAGGCGATGCATTTGCAGGTCGCGTCATAGAGATGATATTTAATGGCTTGGCTATGAATTTAGCCTGTGTTGTCGCAGGCACAACATTTTGCTGTTGTTGTTGCTGCTGCTGGAGCAGATTGTTGTTCGCGGCTTGCGCCAAAAGTTGGCGCTGATGAAGTTGCGCCTGTTGCAGGGCAAATTGCTGAATTTGGTGCTGCTTCTGATGCGCGGCAGCCTGCTGCTGTTGCTGCTCCAGTTGTTGCTGCTGCTGATGTTGCTGGGCCAGCAAGTTGGGCGACAAGAACTGTTGTGCTCCGTTGCGAAGGGCCACCGGCAATGTCTTCGACAAGGCATTGCTACTTGTTGCTTGCTGTTGTTGTTGCTGCTGTTGGGCGGCAGCCGCCTGAAGTGTCAATTGCTGCAGAAGTTGCTGCTGCTGCTGCTGGCGTTGCTGTTGCAGCAAAAAGTTGCCAATTATCTGACCATTGGAATCCACCAGAATTTGTCGTTGTTGAGGTCCACTTGGCTGAGCGTTCTGTTGAGCCTGCTGCTGTTGCGCAGGCTGCTGCGGCAGCTGATTGATGCTCAGACTATTGCTGCTACTGCAAAGGCTTATATTGTTGCTGCTGTCGTTGCTGTTGCTACTGTTTGTGATTACTGTACTGGATACCTCCATTTCAGCGGCAGACATTGGGACAGGGTCACAGAGCATCTCATGGGCGATCTAGTAATGAGAAATATTTATTAATCTAATTTTCATCAACGCCTTTTTGTTTTAAACTCACATCATTTCCATATTCGCTGTGGGCTTGCGGCATAAACGAATGCTGAGACAATTGAACAACATCCTGGATATGCAATTGCTGATGTTGCTGTTGTTCTTGTTGCTGTTGATGTTGCTGCAATTTGTCCACTATCTCGCGCACTGCTTCATTGTCCTCATCCATCAGCTGCTGTTCCTGCTGCTCCTCTGTAATGCATTCCACCACCTCATCGTCTTCCTCCTCATCTTCATCCCCATCCTCTTCGTCATCAAGAACTTCATGGCACACATCGTTATCCATGATGTCGTCTATGACGTCGGCATCATGCACTACATCCATTAGATCGATACCTTCATGGTTTAAACTGCGCTGCTGATCTCCAGTTGATTGCGAGCTGCTCAATTTAATGTCGCCAAAGTGCCAATCGTGCTGCACATGCTGGTACATTTCATTTGAATTTAACTCCATGGGCAATTCCTGTTGCTCTTGCTGCTGTTGAAACTTGACCACTGTTGAGAGCATGGCTTGGACATTGGCCAACGTGGTTTCAGCCGCTGCTGCCAGCGTCAATGGAGCTGTGGCTGTCCCTGCTCCGACCGACGATGACGTTGTGGGCGCGGTTGTCGTCGAACCTGAATTACTGCTGGAGCACGAAGATGACATCGAAGCGGTAGAGGATGAGGATGATGTGCAGCTGGTGGATGTAATCGAACTGGCCGGCGTTGACCCAGAAATAGAGCTAGCAATGGGCATTGGTAAGCCCTCCAGCTTATCACATTGCTCTTCCAGTTTAATGACCCCAGTTGTCGCCGCTGCAAAGCAAAATAGAACAACTATAGTACACTAGATTCTTGAAATAATAAGTAGATAGTTTAATTACTGTTGGACGATGACGATGAAGTAAAATAATTGTGATTGATGGTTGATTGATGGTCTTGGAAATAGGCTGATTGAAAGGAATGAAGCAAAATTAGTGACCAATTCCAATAAATATCTTAAAGTAGTCTAACCGTGATCAATGGTATCTGCAAATACAAAATCGTGGCTGTTTGTTCCTGTCGTTATATCTGCCTCAGTTGAATTGTCCAAAGGCGCTTTGGTTTCTAAAATTTTTGAGAGATATTTAAAAGGAATACGTAGATCAAAGAATTATCCAATTTACCAGCTGCTAGTTCAACGCTTTGCAAGTAACTCACAAAGTGATTGACCACCTCCGGATTGTGTGCTAAAGGTTCCGGCTTTGGTGCAGGTGGGGTAACAGCAGCAACCGCTAGCTTGGCAGCTGCAGTAGCAGCTGGCTGCACCACTTCTACATCCTCCATTTTTTTCATGGCAACGATCACCTCACTGCACTCAGATGGCTCAATTTTATCACAGGTACTGTTGATAAGTGACTGATGTTGTCGCTGGTGCTGTTGCTCCTCCTTGCTTTTTGTATCCCCTGCGGCATTATCCACAACATCAGCTTCTGGGGTGGCGACAACATTTCCTGACGCATTAGGAACAATTTCGGCCATCTTCGGCTGCTTGCTATCCTTCGATGTGCTTGGCAGCTCGTCGGGGTCGTCGTCCAAATTTATGGTAGCAATCGTTGTGGGTGCCTGCTTGCGTTGCGATGGACTGCTCGATGGACGTTTGAGGATTCGGCGTTGTTGTTCGTTTAACACATTACTCTGGTTGCTGGTTGCAGAAGGAGTGCTGGTTTTAGCTGCTACTGCTGTTACTACTGTAGTTTTTGTGGTTGCTGCTGTCGTTTCGCACTTTGTGCTCTGCAAGTTTTAAAATTTGGATTTAAATTTTATATATTATATTTTGGATTTAAATTTTAAGGGTTTCGTTAGCTTACCAAATCAAATTTTAATTCAGTCTCATTATCACATGTTGCTTGTTGTTGCTGTGGTTTTTGTTGCGAAGTCGCTGGTGGTTTGGGCTCACTCTTGACGGTAGCCGAAGACTTCTCCTCCTTAACATCGCCTTCAGACTTGACCTTGCTTCTGGAGTTCTTCTCGCCCCAGAAGGGCTCAAAGTGCTTCAGCTTCCAGGGATCCAGTTTGTTTTTCTCGCGCTCTGCCTCCGTTTTTAACTTTAACTGATTCTCGGGTGTGAATTCGCCTTCGCTCAACCGCTCCCGCCACTCAAGGCAGGCTCGGGCAAAAAACTCGTTGTTTAGGCAGGAGGCACTGAGCCGTATAGCCTCCGAGGAGCTGCCTCCACTTCCGCTGCCGCTGGGCAGCTCCATTTCGCTCGCCTCGCGATCCACGCTGGGCAGCAGCTGTATGAGATTGTATTGATAGAGCGGCGGCAGTAACGAGAACGTTTGCTTGTTCAAAAGCGCCCTAAGGTTGGTGGATGCCAGTATGGAGTCGGGGGTCTCCAAGTCGATCTTGCCGTCTTTTGTTTGCTCAATTTGCGCCGCTGTCGTCAGTTTTTTATTGCTCCTCCGACGTGGCTTAACACTAAAGCCTGGTATGGAGGCCAGGACCTCCCGCATGGTCGAGGCTTGAGAGGAGCCGGCCTTGCTACCAGGTGAGATGGCGGATGGATAAGTGGCGGCAGCTTGGGCTTGGGCTTGAGCTAACGCCGCTGCCGCAGCAGCTGCTGCTGCTGCCGCCGCTGCCGCTTTGACCTGTTGCTGTTGCTGAATGCGTCGGCTGCAGATTAGGCGCGTGGGCGGCGCAGAAGCAGGATTGACAACAGGCTCTTCACTGGGCGCCATAGGCTTCTTCTCAGGTGGTATGGGTTTCACGATAATGCGTGGCAGGTGGCGTCTGAAAGGGAAAACGTTTTGAGAGCTAATGTGATTGGATAACTCGATTGTGAACTAACCTCAGACTGTGCGTGTGCTTGGTAGAGGGCGACACATCCAGCTGCTCCAGCGCCAGTGGATCCTTCTCGTCGTCGTCCACCAGATTCACGTGCTCCATTATAATCGGAGGTGGTGGAGCGGCCAACATGGAGTGTTGCTGCAGCATCGGTTGGTGATGCTGATCCGCTTGTGGAATGAGAAGTTGTTGGTGCTGCGACGCCGTCGTCGCCGTATCCGGCGTTATAGTTTTCATAGTTAATCTATCTGCCTAATCTATTTACAGCGAACTTTTGATCCATGAATCCATGTTAGTCGAGTTTCTTCCGCACATACTAAAATAGATAGGAATGGAAAATTCCGAAAATTAGTTTTTGTTTGTGAAGAAAGTTGATTAAAGCTTAAAGGCTTCCCGCTGTGGAAATGAAAAATATCCTCGTCTTTGCCTTGATCAATGTTAATTAATGTTATTTTAATAACTGAATAATTTACTTGATCGATTTTTAATAAAATAAATATTATTAGGTGTGTAATATGTTGATGTTAAAATGTAGTGTAATCCATCTCCATAAAAATAAAGCCTGCAACTAGAAGGCTAAAAATGTTGTGACTTGAAATTATTTTGTATATTAAATATATTAACATTCTGAAAGCAATTTCGTCAACTATAAAGAGTAAGTTGTTTTCCTCAACCTATAATTAATATTTATTTATTAGTTCATGTGTTTACCTATCTAATCTTTAATTACTTTTAAAACTGCACTGTTTGTCTCAACCAATATTAATTAATTTAAATAAACATAGTCCAGTGCAATTTCCGGGGATAACCCTCAACCAATATTGTAAACTTAAGGGCATGCAGCTTCCCAAGAGCCAGATTAGATGGCCAAACTAGTTATTTTGTTTATTACTCGATTAATCCTGGGCGCTTCACTAACCTGGCCAGCAGTATTGTCCATTTTAAGGCAAAAAACTGTCTGTATAATTTTAACGTTGCGCCCTTTGTATATGTACTGCCATCTGTGTATGTATGTATGTGCGTTTGTATTTGTATAGACGAGTGTGCGTGATTTTATATGTAATCAAATTTCGGCTTTGCGGGGATATATATGCTTTAGTTTTAATTATCGTTTTAGTTTTCCTCCGAATTTTCTGCACTTGCCAGCAAAAATCAACAAAAACAACAATGTAACTGCAACAACAACAACTTCGGACGACCTGCAAAGTTGTTGGTTGGTTATATTTTTTCTCACGCACGCACACACACAGGCACACACTGGCACAGCGTAGAAGTAGAAAAAATGGCTTTTGCTTCTATTTGAAAGCCTTTCTACCGATGTTTAATTTATTTCTTATACGAATTTGAGCTGTATTACAGCACTATCTTTTGCATAACGCCGATTTCCGCTTCGTTAATAGCTCACTAAATTAAATATTGAATGGGGGAAATGTGAATGCCAAACACACAAACAAAGCAGCTACAAAATGATTCTTTTCTAGCAGACTATGCCGGTCCCTCTCTGGCGCACGCGATTCCGACTATCGGGCCCAGTGCCCATCCCTCTCGCACACACTACGCAGAAAAGCTGCGTTTAATTGAATGAAATTGTTTTAGTTAGTACAAACACTCCGCACTAATCACAACAACTAGGCTGCACCTTGTTAAATATTATTTCGTGGCTAGCTCCAGTTCTAAACGCAAAACGGTCGAGTTGTTGGCTGCCAAGTCCGATGGGGTTGTTGATGTCGCTCGATACATCGATAGGCTCGAATGTATTTGCGCAGTCACTGCTCCCGAAACAGGGTTGTCAGCTATCGATTGCTCAGTCAAGCGGGAGTAGGCTAAAAACTAGCTAGAAAATTTGATTTATTTTTCAATTCAATAAACCGATAAGATTGAAATATTAATAGAAATTGAATGAAAGGATCTGTGTTTTAATGAAACATTTGTAAATGTATAATGGCAATTTGTTGAGTATTTAATTGAATATACATATTAGTCTAAACTAGCTAGATTGTATGTCCCCTGACTAAAAAGAATCCAAGCGGCAACCGCCGCCGTGGCACCCCATCCCTATCAGTAAGCGATAACTCTTCTCCGGCAATCGATATATCCGCAGCTGCTGTGTTGGGCCGGCAAATTGTTTAACTTAGTAAATTGTTTAATAATGTTTTAAATAGTTGCGCCACGAAAAAAGCAGACGACCGCAATGTTTTCCATGTGCAAGCAGACGCACGCCGCCACGGCGCTGGAGTTTTCTATAGCGTGCCGCTTCTTTAACAACCTGGAGGAGAACCTGGTGGTGGCGGGCGCCAATGTGCTGAAGGTGTACCGCATTGCGCCCAACGTGGAGGCGGGGCAGCGCCAGAAGCTGAATCCCAGCGAGATGCGGCTGGCGCCCAAGATGCGGCTGGAGTGCTTGGCCACGTACTCGCTCTACGGAAACGTGATGTCGCTGCAGTGCGTCTCGTTGGCGGGAGCCATGCGGGATGCTCTGCTGATTAGCTTCAAAGACGCCAAGCTATCGGTTCTGCAGCACGATCCGGATACGTTTGCTCTGAAGACCCTCTCGCTTCACTATTTCGAGGAGGACGACATCCGTGGGGGCTGGACGGGTCGCTATTTCGTGCCCACCGTCCGCGTGGATCCCGATTCCAGGTGCGCCGTTATGTTGGTCTACGGCAAACGGCTGGTGGTCCTGCCCTTTCGCAAAGACAACAGCCTGGACGAGATCGAGTTGGCGGATGTGAAGCCAATCAAGAAGGCGCCCACCGCCATGGTCAGCAGAACGCCCATTATGGCCTCGTATCTAATAGCACTACGGGATCTAGACGAGAAGATCGACAATGTGCTGGACATACAGTTCCTTCACGGCTACTACGAGCCCACGCTACTCATCCTCTACGAGCCGGTACGCACCTGTCCAGGTCGAATCAAGGTGCGCTCGGACACCTGCGTTTTGGTGGCTATTTCGTTGAATATCCAGCAGCGGGTTCATCCTATTATCTGGACAGTCAACAGTCTGCCGTTTGACTGCTTTCAGGTGGGTCAACAATTCCTTAAAGTCACAAACTAAGAGATATCGTCCATTTAAATTCCATAAATCAAATTATTATTTATATTTTAATTTTCAGGTCTATCCCATCCAGAAGCCCATAGGTGGTTGCTTGGTAATGACTGTGAATGCCGTGATCTACCTCAACCAGAGTGTGCCCCCTTATGGTGTTAGTTTAAACAGCTCGGCCGACAACAGCACCGCATTTCCGCTTAAGCCGCAGGATGGAGTGCGCATCAGCTTGGACTGTGCCAACTTCGCGTTCATCGATGTGGACAAGCTGGTGATCTCCCTCCGCACTGGAGATCTCTATGTGCTCACACTTTGCGTTGACTCGATGCGGACGGTGCGAAATTTTCACTTCCACAAAGCCGCCGCCAGCGTACTAACCAGTTGCATCTGTGTTTTGCACTCTGAGTACATCTTCCTGGGATCACGTCTGGGAAACTCCCTTCTGTTGCACTTCACGGAGGAGGATCAGAGCACAGTCATTACATTAGATGATGTGGAGCAACAGGCAGAACAGCAGCAGCGAAATCTGCAGGAAGAGGAACCGAATCTAGAGGAGATTTTCGATGTAGATCAAATGGAAATGGCACCCACCCAAGCAAAATCGCGGCGAATTGAGGACGAGGAACTGGAAGTACGTATTTGAGTATAACTTAACCTGCTTAGCTTTTTAAAACTCTGAATTATATTTATAACCAACTTTTACTGTCCTACAGGTGTACGGCTCGGGAGCTAAGACTTCGGTTCTCCAGCTGCGCAAGTTCGTCTTTGAGGTATGCGACAGTCTTATCAACGTTGCTCCCATTAACTACATGTGCGCTGGCGAGAGAGTGGAATTCGAGGAGGACGGAGCTACTTTGCGACCACATGCGGAATCTCTAAATGACCTAAAGATTGAGCTTGTCGCTGCGACAGGCCACAGCAAAAATGGAGCGTTATCCGTGTTTGTGAACTGCATCAATCCTCAGATCATCACCAGCTTTGAGCTGGACGGATGCCTCGATGTTTGGACCGTGTTTGATGATGCCACTAAGAAGTCCTCGCGGCACGATCAACATGATTTTATGTTGCTTTCACAAAGGAGCTCCACTTTGGTTCTACAAACAGGACAGGAAATCAACGAGATCGAGAATACGGGATTTACGGTGAACCAACCGACCATATATGTCGGTAATCTTGGACAACAGCGGTTTATTGTTCAGGTAAGTTTAGTATAATAATTTAGAAATGGTATAATCAAAAATGCCAACATCAACCGTTTAAATAAGTACCAATAATTAGATACTGTAAAATTACATATTTATTTGTTTTAAAATCTTCCAGATTACCACTCGTCATGTTAGATTACTGCAGGGAACACGTCTTATCCAGAATGTGCCCATCGATGTTGGCTCGCCGGTGGTGCAGGTGTCCATAGCAGATCCGTACGTCTGCTTGCGAGTGCTAAATGGTCAGGTGATTACGTTGGCTCTGCGAGAGACACGCGGAACACCCCGCCTGGCAATCAATAAGCACACCATTAGCAGTTCACCCGCCGTGGTTGCCATCTCCGCATATAAAGATCTATCTGGATTGTTCACAGTTAAAGGGGACGATGTCAATCTCACGGGGAGCTCCAACAGTGGATTCGGCCACAGTTTCGGTGGCTACATGAAGGCAGAGCCCAATATGAAGGTGGAGGACGAAGAAGACCTACTCTATGGCGATGCCGGAAGTGCTTTTAAGATGAATAGCATGGCAGATTTAGCCAAGCAGTCTAAACAGAAAAACTCGGACTGGTGGCGACGCCTTCTGGTGCAAGCTAAGCCCAGCTATTGGCTAGTCGTGGCACGCCAGAGTGGCACCTTGGAGATATACTCCATGCCGGACATGAAGCTGGTGTACCTCGTGAACGATGTGGGCAACGGAGCTATGGTTCTTACGGATGCCATGGAATTCGTGCCTATTTCGCTAACTACCCAGGAAAACTCTAAGGCCGGCATTGTCCAAGCATGTATGCCGCAGCACGCCAACTCCCCGCTGCCATTGGAACTGAGTGTCATTGGCTTGGGACTCAATGGAGAGAGACCTCTCCTTTTAGTTAGAACCCGTGTGGAGCTGCTTATATACCAAGTTTTCCGTTATCCAAAGGGACATCTTAAGATACGCTTCCGCAAGCTAGAGCAACTGAATCTATTGGACCAACAGCCGTCGCATATTGAGTTGGATGAGAACGAAGAGCAGGAAGAGGTCGAATCCTACCAAATGCAACCGAAGTATGTCCAAAAACTTCGCCCATTTGCCAACGTAGGAGGACTGTCTGGCATCATGGTGTGTGGAGTCAATCCCTGTTTTGTTTTCCTAACTTCCCGAGGTGAACTTCGCATCCATCGACTGCTGGGAAATGGCGATGTGCGCAGCTTTGCCGCCTTTAACAATGTCAATATACCAAATGGATTCCTGTATTTTGACACCACGTTTGAGCTAAAGATCTCCGTCCTGCCCAGCTACCTGAGTTACGACTCTACGTGGCCGGTGAGAAAAGTACCACTGAGATGCACCCCAAGGCAACTAGTTTATCACCGGGAGAATCGGGTGTACTGCTTGATCACCCAAACGGAGGAGCCTATGACCAAGTACTATCGGTTTAATGGAGAGGATAAGGAGCTGTCAGAGGAAAGTCGTGGCGAGCGGTTCATCTACCCGATTGGCTCGCAGTTTGAAATGGTTTTAATTTCACCCGAGACCTGGGAAATTGTGCCAGATGCATCCATTACCTTTGAGGCCTGGGAGCATGTAACCGCTTTCAAGATCGTAAAGTTGTCATACGAAGGTACAAGATCTGGTCTCAAGGAATACCTTTGCATAGGAACCAACTTCAACTACAGCGAGGATATCACCAGCAGAGGAAATATTCATATTTATGACATCATTGAAGTGGTTCCTGAACCCGGCAAACCAATGACCAAATTTAAGCTGAAGGAGGTCTTTAAAAAAGAACAAAAAGGTCCCGTATCTGCCATTTCAGATGTGCTAGGATTTCTTGTCACTGGATTGGGACAAAAGATCTACATTTGGCAGCTGCGCGATGGAGATCTTATTGGTGTGGCTTTCATAGATACAAATATCTACGTCCACCAGATAATTACAGTAAAATCACTGATCTTCATCGCAGATGTTTACAAATCGATCAGTTTACTGCGCTTCCAGGAGGAGTATCGCACTTTGTCGCTTGCATCGCGGGATTTTAATCCCTTGGAGGTTTATGGTATCGAATTCATGGTGGACAATTCCAATCTGGGTTTCCTGGTGACAGATGCTGAGCGCAATTTAATTGTCTATATGTATCAGCCAGAGGCCAGAGAATCGCTTGGTGGCCAGAAACTTCTCCGCAAGGCGGACTATCATCTTGGACAGGTGGTGAACACTATGTTCCGCGTGCAGTGCCATCAAAGGGGACTTCATCAACGCCAGCCCTTCCTCTACGAAAACAAACATTTTGTTGTTTATGGAACCCTAGATGGAGCATTGGGATATTGCTTGCCACTACCAGAGAAAGTGTACAGGCGATTCCTCATGTTGCAGAATGTCCTACTCTCCTACCAGGATCACCTGTGTGGCCTCAATCCTAAGGAGTATCGCACACTCAAGTCTTTCAAGAAGCAAGGCATCAATCCCTCGCGCTGCGTCATCGATGGAGATTTAATCTGGTCATATCGCCTAATGGCCAATTCTGAGCGTAATGAAGTAGCCAAAAAGATTGGCACGCGGACGGAGGAGATCCTTGGGGATCTGCTGGAGATCGAAAGACTGGCCAGCGTATTCTAGACAACCATCGCGTGAAAAATGTAAAGTTTTAGTTGATAGTTATATTGTAGTTTATGTTACGAGTTTCACAGTTGTAATTTTAGTTTTGTAATCCAATCGAAGGCCACAACAAAGTATTTTGTTAAGTAAACTGGAAAACTGTTTATGCTTTTGGTGGGCCGACAATGAATCTTTAGTCGGAAAATAATGTAAGAAACCTCTACAAATTTATTTTCATTAGAAATACCTATTCGAATTTAAATGTAATTTAAAACAGAATGCTACATTAAGGGAAACTGTTATACAAACAAAATTTAGGCGGTGGTCTATGCGACCTCTAGTTTATGATCATTTTAAAAGATTACTTTTTGTCCTTATGGCTATTTAGTTTTATGACAGCTTCAAAATTGAGGACCCACCCCAATAATGAGATCGAAGTTCAAGGAATCGAAAACTTTGCCCGAAAGTAAACAAACAATTGGAAACATTAGATTGAACGCTTTGTGGTGCGTCTTGCCCGCGTCACAGTTGGAGCTGATGGCATTCTTTATGTATTGTATAATATATAATGTATATGTATACTAAATTATTCATTGTATAAACTAACAACATCATCAGTATCAGTATCAGTTAGTTAACTCAATGTACAACAGCCAACGACAGCCGTACATTCGTCGTACGAAGAAAATACACATTTCCAATCGAAGATCATCCGAAAAAATGAAAGAAAACTTATAGGCGATGTAAATTAAAGAAATTGCAAACTGTCTGCTTAATTGGTACGTGGTAGTTGGTAGGTGGTGCAAATGAGGTTTCATGTGTGGTATATGTATGACATGTGGGTGGATGTGGGGTGTCTGTGGAAGGCGCTTCGTGTGTCCTTGTTTCGTTGAGCAACTAATTTAGTTTAGATAGCGAAAACAATCATCAAGGCGGCTAGGCTACAGGCTAACAAAGTATGCGGATTACGAGCTGATATATTTATGTGTACGTAGTGGTGACTTCGAAATTCCATCCAGCTTAGCTAGCCCTCGATCTGGGATCGCAGGCGGGGGCGTGGCAAGTCCCCAAACACAGCCTCGCCATGGACGCTTTTGGTCAGCGCCTGAATGCTGGCCGCAATATCGATGTTGTCCATTCCCTGATAAAGAAAACAATCATAAGTTTTTTATACGATTAAATATTTCAAAGGTGATTTTACCTCCTCGCAGCCCAGCGCAAAATTATTATTGTTGCCTGCTGCAGCCCTCTCAGCCAGCGTGGTGTTGGCTATCTCAATGGGCAGACTCCTGGCAAAGTTCATCAGCTGCGCATGTGTGGGTCGTCCTCCTGCTCGCACTGGTATGGAAATGGAGCTGTCCGGGTCGAGAGCATCTGCGAAAGCGAGAATATTCTGGTCACTAAATGATTCTTTCAAAAGATGTCTTGGCACTCACCTTCAGCTTCATCGGCAGCTTCGTCATCGAGCACGTTTCGCAGGCCGTTTTGCTGGCCCATCTGCTGGAACGGATTGGGGTGGTGCTCTTGCTGGTAGATCAGACTGCGCGGATAGCTGGGCACTGGCACGGACTGAACTGGCGGCAGCGCCGGGGCATCCACATCCTCCAGATCGAACAGACAGTCATCCGCATCGTCGGCGGCACTGGTCTGACCCACTCCATTGTTGGTTAACATTTGGGTGGGTGCACCACTGGCCGACTGCTGCCGGAAGGTGGGACTGTTGCCCACGCTCATGGGCGTGGCTTCTGGGGTGGCGGGCGGTGTGTCAAAGTGTGACATCTTCCTGGCCACCGAGACACTTTGCTGCAGTGGCTGCTGCTGCTGCTGCGAAGCCTGCAACTGTTGCTGCGGCTGCTGGTTGAGCGTGAGGAAACTGGGCGGATGATTCAGGGTGGTGGTGGGCGTGGTGGGTCCACCGTTTAACTCCCGCCGGCTGCTGATGGTGTTCCTGCGCCGGGCAGTGGCACTCTGCGGCTGATTAGCCGCAACTTCCAGAGCGGGTGGCATGGCATGATCTAGTAGGTCCGAGGTCGGCTCTCGCAATAAACGAATCACTCGTAATAGCAACGCACAATCCTGATCCGACTTCTCCCTGAAGCTGTTCAACAACTGGAACTGGTTGCGCGTATACCGCTCAATTCGTTCGTTCGTCTCCAAAATCTCCTCCTGCAATCGCGCCTGCTGGTGGGCTTGGATCATCCTTAGCCTTTGCATCTTGGCATCTGTGGGATTCGCGGACAGCGAACCAATGCTAAGATTTGAGGCCGAGTTGGCTATTCCAACGGTGGGTCCCGCGGATACGGAGTCACTGCCTGCGTGATCCATGATCAGCAGCTCGAAGGTCTCCGAATACGATTTGTTGGACTTTCGCTGGGCCAGCTCCTCGCTGCTGGTCAGCAGCGTGCAGTTGATGAGGTAGAGCGTGGGCGTGGCTCCGGCCCCCGCCGTCAATCGCTTGGCGCACAGCACCTCCTTGCAGTTGATGCACAGGCTCAGTTGCCAGCTCTGGCCTGCGGCATCCAGGGTAAGTCCGTACAGCAGCTCCCGCTGGTTGATCACAGCCACGGTCAGGTCTGGAATGGGTCCATAGGCCTGAAATATTAGGAATGATGGAATGTTAATGATCTATAGGTTGTTTGGAAAATTACAGCTCAGAAAGATGTTTTAATTCTTGTAAGTAATGCAAAACATGGGTTTGGTTTGTACTTTAGTTTTTTTTTTTTATGATTGTTTGACTCAACTTGAATTGAGTTTATTTCATTTTAAAAACTCCTGCTTATCTTAAAATGATATTTAAAACATACTCACAACTAAAAAGTGTTTATTGTGAAAGAAAATGGTCCGACATTATGGTTTCTTTTTCAAAAAATTTTATTAAATAATGGTGAACACAAATTTTGAATTTCTTTTAACATTATTATTAAATACAGGTAACGAGCTTTCCCTAAGTGCACCCCTCACTTTCATATGGATTACCTTAGGTAAACAGTTGATAAGACTTTCAACACAACCTGGTCAATGTCTGATAAAGCTGATTACCAATTTACCCCATTATCTGAAGTTCTGATCACCCCGCGAAAACCTTTCTTCGATATTTACCCAGTCGTCAACCTCGCCGCACAGTAGTTCAAGTGCAAATTTGTCAATTATGTTCGTTTGGAGTGCTGCACACGATAGTCGGAAAACTTATCGGAAAACAAGGGACCATTGATGAACATGAAAACAACAAACAATTAGTGCAATGGCAAAATGCTGTTGGGAGCTCCAAAAGGTAGACGACTGGTTGAATTATACATGTTGTCATGGTGACAAGCCGAAGATGTGATGGGTAAACATGTTCCTGATATCAAACAATCATGGTTTGTTTCATCATTTCAAAATGCAAAAAAACAACCTAATGGTGACCCCAAAAATTAGAAAGATATGCTTGCCATCATCATAAAATCGCTCAAAACGTTACCACACACAGCGATTTATTATAAAAAACTATCCGCAACCCCCTCTTTAATTTATGTAGATAAATTTATGCACAATAATTCCGGCATGTTTGGGATTGTAGCACGTGTTTGGCGACTGACACAGGAGCGAAAAACACTTTTTATAGACGTGCTCGGCTAAATTTGACACTCGCGTCCAACACAATCAAGCTATATTCATATAACCCGGACTATAAGCAACCACTGGAGGTGAGGTGAGGGGGCGGGACACTGGACACAAGTGCACAAACAACCACTCGCACACGTAGATACACAGAATTAAATTGAATTAACGTACGAAATGCAAACGTCAACAGAAATCAAATGACAATGTTGCTCGTCAGCTAAGCGATTCAACAACTCCTGGGGTGCATAGCATCGTCTTCCATATAACCATCATCATCATCAGGTGGGCAGATCAAAATAAAATCATCTTTGACTTGGATCTAATATCATTCAAGCATTCTTTTAAACTTCTTGGCCCGCTGAACAAAATTATTTCTCAATTTAGTAACTAGAAATATCAAAACAACCCATTTAGTTCTTCCTACATTGCTATTATTATAAACATTTAAATAAACTTAGAAGAAATCTCAATTTCCGGCACTTCGAAATTGCAGCTGCATTCGTTCGTCTTCTTTTGAAAATTATTTTCGCATCCATTTTGGACAATAACAAGTTGTGGTCACACCCACTCAAAAAATATTGTTTTCAATGCAAATTCCAAACTTGTTTACACCCGGTGCGGTAATATCTAATCAGCCTCAGTTAGTCGGCGACAATAATAATATGAATGAAACAAAAAAGGCAGTAAAATGTGACACAGCGAATGCATTGTTGTCGAGTGTTTTGGCATTCTGTGTTATTATTGCGCTGCCAAACGCATAAACATATTTATGAGCTCAGGCCTATTTGCTCAGTTTAAAATTGCAGTTTTATGGCTGTTTTCGTAACCACAAGAGTCGACTTGTTGTTCTTGCTGCTAATTTGTTTCGCCTGATACCTCTGGGTGTGTTTTTTTTAGACGTACGAGTTGTCAGGGAAGATTTCGATTTGATAGCAGATAAGATTGTGTTAACAAAGGAAGATTAAATTTTCCACAATGAAGTTTAATTTTTGATTAATGATTTTATCTGCTCATCGAAACACTTTTCCATATTGGTAAAAGTCAAGATCTAAATAAAAAAAATTTTAAAAATGGTTAATGGAATATAATATAATGGAATTCAAAATCATAAAACTAAGTACTTTGTATTTTTTTGAGAAACTAAACTATACATATGGGTGTTATAACTATGACCCATTAACCGGGCAGTATTAATCAGCAACCTCTTAAGATTCCAGGGTAATTTAGCAATCGATCATTGCTGATTACCATACATCATTCATTCTTGATTTTAAAGCATTATTTACAGTTTTTATGGCCCGGCTGGCTAAGCTTAAAGTGGGTGTTTTTGTTGACTCGGTTGTTCGGCCCCGACCGCCTGACATTATCAGTTGGGTTGTAAAATGTTGAGGGCTATTTAACATCCATCACATCCATCCTGGATACTTGCATTACCCTCGTTTTCTTGTTGCCCCATGTTTTGCAAAACATTTTGTAAGAACTTGCGCATCTCTCGCAATTTGCCATTCGCCAAATGTCAATGACTCTTCTCAGTGACTTTCAGACTGCAATGGCAACAATTGAAGGCAATAGCCCTCGTCACTTCATTGCTTAATTAACGTAACTGCCTGTTCGAATTATCGGTTCTTGCTTAATTGAAATTAAATGTCTGTGCTGTCCTGCTAATTATGCTATGGCGCCACCTAGCGTTCGGAACCACTGGCTGTTAGCTAATTAAATAACCGTTTACGTTCGACTTTGACGTATGACCGTTTGTTTTATAGCCAGTCCGACATTTGATTAATTGTAATCTTTCGTCTTGCGGCCAAAAAAAAAACCACGTAAATAATAATAAATATAGCATGGCGTGTTCTTGTTGGATGTGCTTCTGGAATCGGGCAATCGGGTAGCAGAAAGAGACACAGAATCGCCGGAGGAAACGAGTCGAGGAGCACGTAACTCAGCCGCACACTCCTCGCATATCGGAAATCAATATAAATCGTTTTAATTGAAGCCCGGCATTTGGTTAATGTATGCAATCTAGACGGAATCAATTGCATTTCTGCCAACTGTCGAAATCGTTGTCCAACTGTCAACGAGAATCCGTGGATCTCTTAATATTCATAGTGTATCTCTTTATATCCATAGTATATCTCTTTATATTCATAGTGGATATCTCAGTGAGCAAAAACTTAACAACACTATAAAACATTGATATCTTAAGTATTAAAATTCAATAATATTAAGATGAAAAATCTCTGAGACATTCCAATTGGGTGGATTTTTATTTGAGGCTGAAATTATTTTGAATATGTTTTTATAGCAGTAAATCAGATACAAGATATGATTAGGATAATTGGTAATTAGTTAGGACATAAAATATTGTGTAGTTGCTAAAAAAAATGTACAAAATATCTGACATATTTCGTAATACCTTTTCATTCTCTGAAAGCAATTCGAACCACTCTCGTTTAAAAGACTTTTAAGGCAATAGCATCGCATAACGTGGTCATTAAGTCCACAGAGGCCATAACTTGAGAGTTATGTTCTTCCAGTTTCAGACGGGAAGTACAAGTGCATTTTAGACCCTTAAGTGCCCCTGTTGCTTAGTTATGCTGTAAAACTAATAACGACGACTTTTAAAGCTTTTTGCTATCATCAAACTGTTGCGCATTTGAATTGCCTGTTTCTATTTTATTTCATTTTCAGTCTGGGCCGGCAGAAACAATTGAAATTCATATCAAAGTGTCTGGCAATGCAGATCCCCCGCCGGCTTATGCAACCAGAACGATTCCCATTAAACAAACAACTTTAGAGCAGAATGTATGTAATAATTTTTCGCATTTTGCACATTGCTGCATAATTAATTTGTTGTTGCGCGAGGCGAATATGTAGTGTAATTGATTGCCCGGCATTAATTAAGCTGGTAGTCAGACACTCGATGTGTCTAATGGTTCTACTTAGGGTCTGTCAACCCCCCTCCTTTATTCCACTTTGCGCTATAATTTTCTATTTACTTTTTAACTTATTTGCATATCAATTCGCCTTGCCTTTGTCTTGGTGAAAAACAAACAACACATTAAGCTGTGTCCAAAGGTAAAACTGAGTTGTTGATGACACATTAAATGAAAATATTTAGTAAATTATTAGCCCTGATAAAGACATACATAATTATTGAAATGAGATATAAATAATTTGTATTTTAAAAACTAGAACGCCAATTTTAATAATATCTCTTCTGCATTTCAGTTAAAATTAATTTACCTGTTTTCATTTTTGATCTTGTGAGATAATAATTTCTTTATCATTTTGGACTTTTATCAGTAAAAAATTTCGTATACTTTCAGTTCAAATCTTTATGGTGCAATGGGGAAAAGTAAGAGAGGGGGCATTAACCTGTTGCAAGTGTTAGCACCTTCGATAATTACCAATCAATCAGGCCATCAATCATCCGTGGCCAGCACACCTTTCGACCAAAAAAAAAAAAAATGAAAATAACAATCATCCGTCCGATTGACGCATATACCTTTGTTTTGTTTTCCATTTCTATTTCTATTTTCTTTCGATTTTACTTTTTTTATAGCTTTGAGATAACTTGCCTTGTTTCGTTTCATCGGCAGAAACCGAAACTGAGCCAAAAAGAAAATAAGTTGTAAACAAATCAACTGGCAAAAGAAACTACGAAAATAATCTTTTATAGATTTGGATCCCCCTCCAAATGGGAATGCGAGGGGTTCGCTCTGGGGTGCGACTTGGTTCGGCTCGCTGCTCACGAATAATACAATAATACCCTCTTCCTCTTTGGTTTTTTTTATTTTTTAGTTTTGCCTCTTTTTTTTTTCTTTTTTGTGTTGTCGAAAAAAGCAAACACATTTCGCTCAGATACGTCGCCGTCGTGGGCCATTATCATAAACAACTTTAGACAGCTGGGGACACACGCGCGTGCGGGGCGTTTTCGCTCTTCGGATTACGAATTGCCAATTTGTATTGCCGCTCCACTCTGTTTTGCT